ATGGCAAATGAAATGTACTTGTTCTCTTCCATATTGTTTTCAGCCGATGGCACGTGCGCCGGAGTAAGATGTCACCCGGATGCTACATGCGAAACAAACTCGCCGCTTGATCCAGTTTGCGTTTTTAAAGACGGTTATCAAGGCGGTGGTCGAAAATGTTCTGGTAATGATTTTTTACTTTTTTTTATTAACAGCTCTTTTTTGCCCTCTTAGACATTCAACCTTTGAACCTCTCAAATCAGTAAGTGTATTCCATACTGCCCCTTGAAAATTTCCTGGGTTTGTATTTCTTTACTTTGTGATCAATTCCCTTTTCCTCAAGACCTTAAAGTTTGACTCAGCAGATATTATTTTTTAAGGAGAAATTAGATCTGGGAATCAGGGGTGAAAGGATTAAGACTGGAAGTACAGCCCCCAACAATTCGTAGGAGCATTTTTATTCCAGTTGTCCTATCATCGCGAGTCGTCGAAGTCTGGGTGGAGGCTTCCCAGCAAAGTCTTGTAGAACCTGTGTAGTCTTTGTCATAGTCTGTAGAGGTTCACTGGTTAGGACAGCCGACATATTAATTTTTTATTTGTGTACAATGTCAAATCGAATGACGAATACAGACTTCACATCAATTTTGTTTTTCGCAGTCAGGAGGCTTTACTAGTCATCCATCTTTACTAGTTATGTCCTACTGGTTCAGGATGCGGAACATTGCAGTTAAGTCTCGAGATATTTACAGCCCCTATACATTATAACGATACCTTAGTTCTTCCAATTAAAACAAGCGAAAAAAGAAACGCATCCTAAGTCGAAGTAAGGAAAATTCAAGGAGAAAAGAAATAACACAAAAATTTCATCAAACAAAAAAAAAACATCTTTCCTTCGAGCCGGATTCGAAGCAGCGACCTAAGGATATCAATCAAACCAATCTCTACAGTCCTCCGCTCTACCAATTGAGCTATTGAAGGTAATCGGATATATTAGGTTGTTAGTATTTCTCTTTTGAGTAGTTAGGTGCGGAGATATCCATATCTGTCGTAAGTGCTCAGTATCTAGATCTGGAAGACAAACCGATGAATATAACTGTTATATCACAATTTGAAGCGTCGACATGTTTTGAAACAATAAAGCAATAGGTAAATAAGTCAAAAAAGAACAATGATTACACGAAACATTAATGAATTTATTTCATAATATCCAAGAAAATGGGAAAATTTTCCTTGGAGCCAATTATGTTTTATTCAGCTAATCGTTTTATAAAATGATTAGCTGCATAAAAAAGGCTTCATAAAAAGCGCTCCATATTTTTTAAGGCACCATTTTATAAAATGATTAGCTGCATAAAACATAATTGGCTTCATATCTTAAGCACCATTTTATAAAAAAAACAGTAGCTGAATATTGGCGGTAATGGTACCCCATACATTGTCAGTGTAGCTGGGTTTACTGTCACTGTTTTCGTTGTATCCATCCCTGACATTCCTGTTGCTTTTGCATTGTTCGCTGACAATGGTTAGCTTTTCAGTATCGTAAAAGCCAAAAGAGAGAGCGGTGCGCGAGGAAAGTCGTGACGTGACAACTTTCCCCGGATCCTACCCTCGCTTTCCCTGTGCTACGCCTCTCTTTTTTATATCCATAAGGGCGCGCACTCTTTAATTAATGGGACTTGTTGCTATCCTCTTCTTTACGCATGCGCTCTTTCTTTCCAGTGACATGAAATTGGAAAAACGTCTTTTAAAGCCTTTCGCGAGAAGGATTCGTCCTGCACAAATTAAACCTTTCCTATAACCTATTTGAGAAAGGGGTCTTTGCGTACGAAGGTGTTACACTGAGACATCATATTTTATATTTCAACAAGTTACGGCCTTTATTTTGCATCAGGCTGATGACGTTGTGGAGGACAAAGGTTATTGTTAGATATTTTCACTCTTGTTGATCAGTAATGCCTACTTAAAGTTTCGACTTTCGAATCATGGAAATCAACGCGTTTCTAGTTAGGAAACCAGGATTTCTCAGACGATTGCTGATAACCGAAGATTTTCCTTATGCAAATGCAGTAGTTATTT